AGTGTGTGTGTAAATGCATGTGTGGAAGGATCGGTTTCCAAACTGTAACCACATCAGGTTTAAACAAAGCTAAATGGCCCCTCCATTAGCCAGAGGCCATTAGCCAACCACTGACCACAAACCCTGCTCTGCTCTCTTGTGCACCTTTGTTCTGACCTTCCCAGAAAAGAAGACAGAGGATGAAAGAGGGAAAAGAGGAAGGGCACAGGAACAATGATCTGAATACAAGCATCAAATTGCTGTCTCTACCCAAGTCCAACTTAAAAGAAAACTACACAGCTACAGAGCAGTCAAAAGAAAGAGCCTTTTTGAGGTACAGGATTTGAACAATGTTGGTCTAAAGGTTTCTGTTTCTGTACCTGTAATGCACTAAATATGTGGAGTACAGGGCTGTTATAAGGCAAACATTCACTGGTGCTTTGGATTAAATTAGCATCATCATATTCTCAAATGCATGAAATATAGCTTTTTCAGCAGTTTTAAAAAACAGCTTTGAAAGTTAACTCTCAACCTCAGAAGTATACGTACGTTCTGTGATAGTGGTTTTAGCTCATCACAATACTGTTTGTATATGGTTACCAGTATATACATTTGCATTAGGGAGAACATGAGATTGACAAAACAATTATGAAATGATAATATAAATAAAACCTGATAATTGGGTGTTCATCTTGGGTTCAACACTATATATTATCTGTTGTTTGCTAATACAAGTAGTATACTGTATCAAATACACACAAGCATAAGAGTGCATGCAAAATTAATGCTTCCATGACAGGCTCAGCAACATCTGTATAATATGAGCTTTAGAAAGGTACATTCAAAGTAACAGAGCCCAAGGCCAGTGGACAGAGAAACATTACTTTGTATGAGGAGCAAAAAAAAAAGTTTTCTTTTTTTTACCTTTTCAAAATACTTGATCTCGTACTCCAGGATGATACCGTTGGGGCGATCAGGCTCTGCCCAAGAAATAGCAATGCTGCTCTTTCCCGTATGATCTTTTCTCACCACACTCACCGGGGAGGGTGCTGCACACACACAGATATAAAGACATAGTTCATTTTATTTCAAGCACATTTATTTGCTGGAGTAGTCAAAATCCAGTAGTTTAATATGATGCAAGTGAATCTCTTCAATTCCAGTATTTAACATTACTGACCTAACATCAAACAGTGATTAAACACAAGAGAAATGGGTATGTTGGGTACCATCAGCATCTATAAGACACTCCTCTCCTGATGACACCTCATCCTTTGATGCTTACATGCGCAGAGCTAATTGTAATGCTTGCTGTGATTGTTGTTCAGTATGAAATATTTAACTGAAGATGAAACAAAATCACAAAAAAAAGACCAACACACAGCAATGTACATCTGTGTTTGCTGTTGGGTATTTCTGTCATGCTGGGTGAGAAAAAAAAAAAAAAAAAAATTCTGCCTGTTCTATCATATTTTCTTCAGAGTTCCTTCCTTGGAATTTAAGTTTGTTAGTTACCAAAGTTCCTCTGAACTAATTTGGCGCAGTCTATTGAGCTTGAACTCAACCACAGAGATTATGTCTGGTTCCACAGCAGCTCTGCCTCTCAAAAAAAAAAAGATGTTTGCAATCTGGCCGCACCTGTGCCTCATTAAACTACCTTTTATATTTTGCTATTCAGTAGATGCTGGCAGAGGAGCCCCTAACGTCAACTATGACTGTACACATCTGGCACAGAGCTTTTGGTGTACCAAGTTTGGCAGTCTGCTAAGGACGGAATATATATTTAGAAATTGTTAAATAATGTAGTGACAAAGTGAAAATCCTGCAAGCAATATATAGACTGTATTTACAGTGGTAATGTTATACATATCATGTATCAATTCTAGTGGTTTATGTCTTAAAAAGTGGCCATACTATCACAGGAGAAAACTGTTTCCATTATATATTTTTTATTCTGTAAGTTCTGAAGTCAAGTGAGTTTGCATCAATCATCGGGCCATCCTGTTGTAACCTGAACTGTTGGCCCATCTCTCAAAGGGACAGTTGGGGAGTCTCTGACACATAAAGAGCTTTTCACCAGGCAAAATGCTCCCTCAGGCAACATCCTGATAGTATGTGTTTTTGTGTGTGTGTGTGCCTCTACTGCAAATGCTAAACACCGTTTAGGTTTCAATAGCCTCAGCAGAACTCCAGAGGGAATAAATGATCGCTACAAACACAGTAACTGTATCCTGAGTGGATGGTCGCACAGAAGTGTTATCTGCAACATCTTAAAAGCCTGAAACCAGAAACCGAATCACACACACACACACACTCA